AAAAAAAAAAAAAAAAAAGGAAGTACCTAAGACATCTTCCTAAAATAATACAAATCCATCTGAACATTCCTATTTCAGGATATAAAGCTTAATATACTCAAATATTATAATCTCATATAATGACTACATATTCTGAACCAAGAAATAATTATACTTTTAAACTGTTACTTGCTCAACTTTCCTTTCTTTCTGGAGAAAACTGAGAAGTGGAAACATCCTAATTCTGATATATTTTACATGCTGAAATTTCCTGGTCTAAGAGTTTCCAGGCTCTGTACACTTTGGAAACCCCCTGTATCAGTGATGGTGAATCTTTTAGAGAGCAACTTCAAACTGCAACCCAAAACCATTTATTTATCACAAATGCCAACACTGCAACTGAACCTGAATATTGAAGTTTTAGTTTAGAAAAAAAAAACTCCACATTAACATATTTTGTCTTAAAAGAAAAATACAATAACGTGCATGCCATAGGTTTGCCACCACTGCTCTACATATTTCCACATAAAGATGATATTTTGTCTGGTGGTAGAAAAAAACCCAAAAGAACCTCCACACCTGCTTTCATTAATTTAGCATAAACAAGCAATATTTCAAAAAGTACCCAAAAAAGGAAAATGTGAGACCAATTCCACGTACTTATTAAACTTATATGCTTAAGAGAGTGGATTACGGGGAAGGGATACACAATAATATGCTTACAGCTCAATGTTTTGTTTCAAAGTCCCAAAGCTTTAGGAAGCTAGTGATTATTTTTTAAATCTCCCACAAATCAAAGAGAAATTATATATTGCAAAACAATTGTAAGAGAGTAATGCTGGCAACAAAAAGCTATATTCAACATCTGAATTACTTCCACTACTGCTTTAGGGTGACAAGATACTGCAGTTCATTTAAACCTGAATATGGCCACATGATAATTTCTCATTAAACCAGGCAATGAATGCAACAATGTTAACAACCACATCAGGGTTTACACCTGTGTCAATCTCATTAAAAAATTAGCATGCTTGTAATCCCAGCTACTCAGGAGGGTGAGGTAAAAAGATCACAAGTTTGAGCCCAGCCTGGGCAACTTAAAGAGACTCTGTCTCAAAATAAAAAATTTAAAAAGGGCTAGGGATGTAGCCCAGTTATTTTCAGGGATGTAGCCCTGAACTTGATTCTCAGCACTGCAACAACAACATGCTAATCTTCAGGTCTCACTATGTAGTTCAGGCTGGCCTTGAACTCACAGCAACCCTCCCGTCTCAGCCTCCCAAGTGCTGTGATTAAATTTAACATAATGTCCCCTGCGTTTATCCATGTTGTTACACTGTACCCCATAAATGTA